CCCTAATGTGGGCGTTCAAAATGCAGGATTGTCCTAGATTTCCCTTGTTTGAATTTTTAACATATAAATTGGGTGTACGTTTAGATATATTTCATCGCTTGCTCAACTTTTTCAGATCCAAATGGCTTTGCTAGCATGTCGTCCACGAGAGCAAATGCGGAAAAATGGCATTATCCATCCGTGGCATTATCCATCCGTGGCATTATCCATCCATGGCATTATCCATCCGTGGCATTATCCATTTCACATTGGAAAGTTTGAAAATATACAAACAGTTCACCCAAATCGGTAGGATCTTACTAAGCTCTGTTATCATAGTCCCGTGGGTGCCAGTAAAATATTGTAACAGTGTCTAAAAGTAAAGCCTGATATTCAGGGTCCTGCGGGCGATAGTAAAGCCTGATACCAGAGCCCCAGAGAAGTCAGTGAAGCCGGATACGGCCTCAGGGTGTTAGTATAAAATTGTTTTGGTGTCCCATGGGCGTTAGTAAAGTCTGATGACAGAGTCCCACTGATGTTTATAAATTTCGATACTAGGGTCCACCAGGCTTTAGTAAAGTCTGATCAGTGGCCACCATGGGTGTTAGTAAAATCTGATACCAGGGTCCCGCGTAAAATAAAACGGGCGGTCTCACGGGCATTAGTGAAATATGATACGTAGGTCCAAAGGGTATGAGGAAATGCTGATACCAGTGTTTCATGCACATCAGTAAAATTTGGTACTAAGTTACTACGGCAGTCAGTAAAATTTGATAGCCGGATTCAATGGGAGTAACCACTTTATTCCCTCCAGTGTTTACCAACCAGGCCATAATCTCTTCGGTGGTTACCCACCTTGCTTTAGTTCAGCCAGTGGTTACCCATCACCCATAATCCTTCCAGTGGTTACCCACCTTCCATATTCCCTCCAGCGGTTACCCACCTTCCATATTCCCCCAGTGGCTTCCCAGCCAGCCATTTTTTTGTCCAGTTATCCGGTTCTATTGCCCCCGACCGTATTCCCTTCCAGTGGTTAGCTACCATCATACCGTTTCTCTCCAAATGTTACACACCTGACTCTGTTTCAGCTAAGTATTACCCACCAATCTCTATTCCAGTCAGTCTATTAGCCGGTCAACCCCACTCCCTTCAGTGGTTACCCACCATCCATAATCCCTCCACTGGTTACCCATAAGCCCTATTCCCTTCAGTGGTTACCCACCTACCCTTCCTCCCATAAGTTCAATCATATCTATGGCGAGAAATACACCGTGAACCAATTGAACTCTTCACGTTTGCAGCTCATTAAAATTTCCCAGCTCCTTAAACTAGTATTGAAAGTGTTCGTTGACGCATGTCTACCGACCAATTTCTGTGTTTAATAGCACATGCAAATGTCCAAATAAAACTATATCAATTGCACAAAACACAATGATCAGTTCAACATTAACATGGTTATTTCTGACGCAGGTTTCAATATCAGCATTCATTAGCGTGTGTAGCTGGCATATGTGCGTATAATAAACGCAGCCTTTGAACTCACCTGACTTTATCCCAGGTTGATTCTCCGAACTTTGTCAGGATAAGCTCCTTGACACAGAGATTGATAAAACCATACTAGATGGGGAAAAAATAAAACGTGGTATGTAATAATATACTGACAAACAAAATTTCGCAAATACAACCGAAAATGGTGTTGTTTTCCTACCATGCCAATGAGATTACAGTACGTCTTAGGAAGCGTTGTCTTGTGTGCTATTGGTACGTATATACTGTCAGCGTACTATGAAGACAAGTCTCAGTGACGTAGGTGGATTATACCATTATTTATTAAATAGCTTAGGTACTGAGTACATGCGTATTATTTCACAGTCTCACAGTTGGACGGCGGAAAAATTTCCGACCATAGCCGAAAAATCTGTTTTGGAAAATAATCTTTCTTAAATCAGAAATATTGCAACTATTAAGATTGAAACCACTAGAGCGTTGTAAACCGGCATGCCGAATTTATTGGCATATTTACGTGGAATCGTGAAAATTAGTAATCAACAACATGGGTGAATTGATCTAATATATTAGCACAAGAGACGAGGGTAAACACGCCTTTCTATTTTTAACTGCATGACAATGAAAACACTGCAGTGTTGTGGTGGGACAACGTTATGTTACCCTGAGAACAAGTAACCTTGTGTGGGGCATATTTTGTGTATTGGCGCATGGTTGTCCCTGGATATCATTGTAATGCGGCCACGGCATCAATGTTCATTGTGTGCCACGCTACTACTTTGTTTGTCTCGCTAGAACGAATAAAGATGTTCCCACTACTCGTTAAAAATATGTGTCTGTCGTATACATTTTGTCTCTACACGATGTCAGTGGTGTCTCCCATGCATGTGTACGTCGTGCAATGACTGCTCTACACGATGTCAGTGGTGTCTCCCATGCATGTGTACGTCGTGCAATGACTGTTCTACACGATGTCAGTAAACGAAAATAAAAAAACAAACAAATACAGAAACATGTTTCCAGTCCAGTTCAAACTGTTTTGTTAGTTATTTAATAACTTCTAATTTACTGAAGGCACTATACACTATAAATTCAATGACTTTTGACGAACATGTTGTTTAATCACAATATTTTGTTATTTTGGCGCAAAAGAAAAGTTAAAAAAGACTATCATTATTTTTGTTATATATTAGATGTTTCGTTATTGTATTCTTTTATATTAATTGTTGGCTCACATAATCACTAACATAATTTATGGGAGAGTGTTCGTTTAAGGTAGACGATCAATACGTACCAGTAACATACGCATTGTTACGTAATATGGGTAAAACCATGTACTCCAGAGAAGAAGGGTAGACAATGGGCAAACAATAAAGGAAATCAGAAGTTTTGCTATTCTATCTTGGCTATACTAATTGTCGACATGTGCAGTGCCCAAAGTGGTAACTATACATTTTTTTCTGTGCACCGACTTTTTGCACCGTTTAGAAACAAATTGCCAATGATCTGTTTAAACACCGGTGCCATAATACTTTAAGGGAACAACTATTATGGTATGATGATTTTCAGGAGTCGATAATTTGTGAATGTTGGCCAAATCGCACTTTTGTTATTTTTCTAAAAAAAAAATTAAACTGTTATCTTTCACATTTCCTGAATTCATACGAAAACCCTTCTCACATACAAAATATTTTAGGGAAGATTTTCAATAAACAGGAAAACATTCAGTAATTAATGCCATTTAATAAGTATAATTGTTTTCTTACTCAGATACTTATGACGTCAGTAGGAGCAACTAGTTTCTAGCTGTCAATTACTTTTCTATGGTGTTAGCAAAATGTTGGGAGAAACTATGCCATGGGGTGGGTATGACAGGCACGACAATAATACAATCACACCAATACTTTCTAACATTGTAACAAATAAATAAATAAATCCGTCTCATTTTGACAGTAAATAAGAAATGATACGTGTTTTGTTTTATTCTATTGATCTCTTTACGTGTTTACATATAACACATCTACTAAAAACGTGAGTTCCTTTATCGTTAGCTACACTAATACGTACATATACAAGGTTGTCTAAATCGATCCTTTGAAAATAAAACTTTATTTGCATGTGCGGAACCAAAACCGGACTTAAAAAATAATGCAAAGCACCGGTAGGGAGACATCACACGTTTAAGTCGTTCGGTCCTTCGTTTTAGTGAGTACTATACGTAATACAAATGAATTAGAAGACGAGGAGTAAACAGATACAAACAATATAAAAAAAAAACAGTCAGTTTTTTTTATAAGCAATGATAAACTGATTACCTTACTAACAAACAAAAATAATAAGTTGATCATAGCATGGAATGTACTTCCCACGATCAGAAAAACCAGTAAATTCATTGATAACTGCTTAGGCAAAAAAAAAAAAAAAAAAAAAAAAACTTATGTTGCCCTCAAGTCGGAAAATTTAAAATTGGGTCGGTCGGATTTTTTTTTTAAACTCGTGAAAACTAAAGGGATCGTAAATAGCCGAGATATATGTGTGTAATTGTTACGATAAGGTTCAGGGGGGGGGGGATAACAAAAGACGAACTGGTGTACACTATAACAGATGACTTTATTGAAACTCCTGCCGTGATGTGTCAAAGCACCCACTTATATACACAAGTTTACATTCCTTGCATTTTGGCGGCAAGTGACTTTGGCCTTGTACATGATTGGGTAATAGGGAGACGAGCTGATAGGTAAATAACTATTAATGAGGTTGTTTTATTGGCTAAAATTAACGTCCTATGATTGGCTAAACTATTTGTAAGCAGAATCCTAAATCGACATCAAGTTCGGCTAGTTATATTTCCGATAGTATATGGGAATCAATCAAACGCATGCTAGATATTAAACACAAAAATCAAAGTGTTCCTTTCAGTCTTTTGTATTTAAATACAGATCAACCCGAGGTTCAAAGTCGCCACTCAACCTCCCGGGGACCCTGGGGATCAAACAACGGTCCGGAATCGTTAATTATTAGGGGAAACACTTTTTTACTGCTTAAAATGGTGAGTTTCTAATATTTGGGCCTATTAAAAAAAAAAACAAAAAAAACCGCGACCCGTTATTTCATTTTTTTTGGTCGGTCGCTGAGGGCAACAAAACAACTTTTTTTGGCCTTATATCAGTCATTTAGTTTTATAAACAGAATATATTTATAGACCATTTATAACATCTACAGCTTTATGCCCTTTACTCTATAGGTGTACAAAGTTTATTCCACATAGAGTGACTTGTTTATGATATAATGTATTATCTATATCGTTCAACCCCCATGCATGGAATGACCGGCAACAACAGCGATGTATAATATATCCATCACCACAACGTGTGTGTTACACCACATACTAGCTCTTAGTAGCAGCTAATATGCCACGAAACATCGATTTGGGATCAGATTTTAAAACATCCGGTCGATCAAACTCAGCAATCTGTGAAATGAACATATGGAAAACACCGTGACATTTCATACATATGATTACAGTAAAGGTAATATTACAAATATGTTTAGTTTTCGTTTGGTTTTTAGTCCATTTTGATGTCGGCCATAATAGGCACCCAATTATAATTGTTTGAACTTGAGTAGAAAATGTATTGTTTCAAACTGATTTTAACAGACACATCAATCATGTATGTAATTTGATTGATTGCAAATTGCCGTTCTGAGTCCTTCGCACGCAAACGCGTTTGGTTTGTTTACATTATGGCGTCGTCTCAAGTGAGCAAAATGATTTCTCAAATCTTGACGACCGAAATGCAGTCACACGCCTTGGTTTCACAAAATTTGGAGAGATGAATAAAAGAAAATATTCACTCCCAGAAAAAGAGGAATATATTTATCTGCGGGTCGTCGAAACTGAATATTGACGTTCACTTCTGTTACTATTTGTATGATATGAGTATTATATGTAATCCTACCTTGCCATTGTCCACCACCATGATTCTATCGTACTTCATAACAGTATCTATTCTATGTGAAATTGTTAACACTGTACAGTGTTTAAAGGCTAAATCTATAGTCTCCTGAATTAAACTATCGGTCTGTGTATCGATAGCTGCTGTAGCCTCGTCTAATACCAATATCTAAGGAGGATATCGTATGTTATATGTTTTTATGTCAGTCATGTTCCTGGTTTACCAACTGTTGTTATTAAATTGGACTTGTCTGTTATGTATGTAGATTGTGTGAAATATTACTTAGGGCACGATATCAAATGTTACCATATGTTTGAAATGTGAAACGACACCAACCTTGCTGTTTCTTAGCAACGCCCTTGCCATACACATGAGTTGACGTTCACCAACAGAAAAGTTTTCTCCATTCTCAACAACGGGAGTCTCTAGTTGTTCTGGCAAGTCTTTTATCTTAAAAAAACAACACCATCTTAATCAGTTCTATCATAATACATAAGTCGGTATTTCCGGTTTACATTATTCAATAACTGTTTGTGCTATATTGTTTTGTCTTTCAAATTCAGAACATAATTTGATTGTCGATACACCTGAGTAACTTACATTAGGTTTCATACAAGTTTTTTCCAAAGCATTCCACAACTCAGCATCTGTGTATTGGTTGAGTGGATCCAAATTGAACCTGCAATTTAAATTCATTACGTCAACACATCAATTCAGTTTTCTCTGATATAATGGAATTTTAGTGACACACATCTAAGCTTCAATCAATACAAATATATTTGAATATTGTTTTTGTATTTACCGTGGCAGTTTTAGAAGAATTCACTAAATATTTAACATGCATATAATTTACATATGTAAATTTCACTATAGAACAGAAAGGCAAAATGTTTGTAAAACATAATATTTATTAATCCACTACTTCTTTCGTGCTTTTTTTTGGGGGGGGGTAGAAGATGACACATTTGAGTTGTTCTCCAAGGTATTCATATTTCTCACATTACAGAACAAAGTGATAGTCATTTTCAACCTTATTTGAACAAAACGAGTAAACTAATGGAATTTGTTTTCCAGCGACTGGTTAAATTATTAATTTATTTTGTCTGGGGTGCTGAAGTTAAATTAGATGATTGGATTGTCCCAATCTCTGAACTGTTTAGTACTCCGTCCGCTCGTATGTTCTATGCTCCGCCCTCTGGACTGTCTATGTTCCGCCTTCTGTACTGTACTACACTGCGTTCTACCTTCCGGACTTTTCCGTGTTCCATCTTCTGTACTGTTCTATGCTCACCATCTGAACTTGTTTGTCTCCGCCCTCTGAATTGTTCTGCATTCCGTCCTCTGGACACTGTGTTCTACTCTCTGGACTGTTCTGTATATGTGTTCGGTTCTGTGTTCGGCTTTCTGCACTGTTTTGTGTTCCACCCCCGGGACTGTTGTATGTACCGCCCTCTTGAGTGATCTGTGTTCTACACCTGGAGTGTTCTGTATTTCGCCCTGTGGACTTTTTTGTGTTCCAACCTCTGCTACGTCATATTTCACAATGTATCCTTGACAAAGTTGTTCACAGTAGTGTGAGACGAATGGTATACGGTATTTAACTCAGAAGCCATGTAATTGGATCATTTTTCTATTAATTTAATTATAAATTACCCGCTCATGTTTGGGAATTATAATTACCACATGCATTAGTACTCATTGTCACGAGCGAGATGTAAATATTTAATTAATTTGCTTAGATAGTTGTTATTATCGAAATGTGTTATACATTTGTTTTTCGTGAGTAACCCCTATGCATTCAGAACAATGTCTATACGGATGAAAGAACCTCGCAACACGAGCGTTATTTGGATCAAGGATTTCATTGGAGCTCGACATTTGTTATTTGCATAACTGACCCAAACATTTAAATCAACCTTGTGCCAACACCACTATTAAGAATATACTATTTATATTTAATACCTTATGGTTCCTATAAACAGGACAGGGTCTTGGGGAACAATCGACAGCTTACATCGAAGGTCATGAAGTCCTATATTTGCAATGTCCACATCATCGATAAGAATACTCCCAGACAAAGGCTCAACTAAACGGAAAAGAGCGACTGCGAATGATGACTTGCCTAGGGAAACATACAGATAAGCAAATAATTGAAATCACAGTGAAGATCTAGCATGTCAATGGTATACAAGCTGATGATTAAATTGAAGGACATGAATGAATTAATGAACAAACAAATTACCGGGTAAACAGAGAAAACTAAATGTTAATCATGACATACATACATACCGGTACATATTTCTCAGTACTAATGTAACTGTTTTATAGTTGAAATTGGTGTTCTAGATAGAAACTTAATTAACTTCAGCAAAGGTGATGCATTTTTTATCTCAAAGCGTAATTCCATTATATGCATATATATGATTCGTAAGGTTAGGAGACTCACGATTATACGCGATTTAGTGTTTTATTAACGAGTGCGTTTTAATAATCATTTAAACACTGGTGTAAAACGTTTTAAACCGAACGTGTAAATCTCTTGATGATGTCCGGCTTATTACAAATTATAATATATTGGTCTCTTACACAAACAATTCTTGTTAATGTAATTGAGTTCAACAGATATTTATAAAATTTTATTTACACTGCCAATTATTTTATTATAAGATTATATATCACTTTGCCACCAGTTTAACTTGCTTTATTTGGAAATCAGTGCCTTGATTATTTTTTTATAGTGCAAGCCTATGTAGCTTATAAAATAAATAAATAAATAAATAAATAAATAAATAAATAAATAAATAAATAAATAAATAAATAAATAAATAAATAAATAAATAAATAAATAAATAAATAAATAAATAAATAAATGAAAATGAATGAAAATGTACAACTGTAGTGCGCCACCACATAGATACACTGAGTGTTATGCTAGTCACGTGATAGATTGTCCATATTCATTTGCATATTATCCAGTTCGTTGTAGATGTATGAATCATACTGTTAATGAGATCCCATGATCAGCCAATATTTTGAATGGCAGAACACAAATAAACATAATACATGTAAATCTGAATCTGAACCGAGGATGTGAGCCAGAGACACGTAGTCCAACAATTCCGCTCAGAAGCATACATCACAAATCGGGTAGAGCGAAATGTGAGCCAGCTGGTGGAGGAGATGTTGTTATGGTGTTGCGAGAAGGGAATTGAAACAGAAACATGTAAAATCAGGCTGGGGTCAAAATAGTGTGAATGATGTGACATAGCGAAAGCACTCATATTGGTACAATGAGTGGCAAGCTTCATTGTTACTAACACAACACCATGGGCTGCTTTCCACTGTTTTAAATAAATAAATTTAAGGTTGGCAATTTATTATTGGCAACTAAGATTAGTCATTCTAGCGGGTTGTCCATCTACATTGTTAGAACCCAAAATGATTTTAACTTGTGCTTCTACGTATGTGCAGTTCCGCGATTGGTGTAGTGGGAGACAAGCAAAATCACGGGATACATTATTCCTCTATCCATTATTTCACAGATATAACTTACACTCTCTGCATTTAAAGTATATGCGGCTACCCGATCACTATTCCCTTTGGATCCGATCCTAGGACGGGTCTTTTTTAAACAAAACATCCAATGGTGATAATTATTAGATATTTAATCATATGTAATGGAAATTATCTAATAAACTAATACATTACCTGCTCCCGTTCTACCAACAATACCAACTTTTTCCCTGGGGTATACAGTACACGTAATGCCCCTCAGTACCAATGGTAAATGTTCACGATATCTCATTTCAAAGTCCTTGAAACATATCTTGCCTTCTTGTGGCCAATCTGTGCTAGGCCTTTGTTTTTCTATAAATTGTTCGCCCTCTGGTTGTAAACTCTGGAAAAATAACATAGTGAGTGAGTACACATATATCATTTTTAGCCGATTGACTTTATCACAAAAAAAAAACAATATCTCAATATCTCCTTGACAGCGAGTGAGCCACGCGTTTAATTCCCTACGGCTATAATAACAACTGTTTTCATGGTCAGCGTAACATTAGCGATAACGTTAAAGACACTATTCGGGGTGGGTGGTCAACTAACTTGACGTTTATTTGCGAATAAAGTCTATTTTATACAAAAAGAACTGCTAATTTAAATCTGGGGTGGTAGGTGAGAATCACTCCTTTCACAAAAAAATGACGATCCTTCCCCGATTTGTTAGTTGAGTTAAATTATGCTTTCTGAAACCATATTTTCGTTGTGACATTCAGTAATATTCTATGTAACAACGTAATTCGAACATTCCATTCCATTCCAGTAGTTAACAGGCAAAGTTTTAATCAAAAAACAAAATTGAAACTAAAACGTTTGTGGAAATATCTATAAGTTTAGATTATTAAACTAAGTACTTAGTAACAGTTAATATGATATTTCTGTATGTAGTATGGTACACTGCGCAGTCGTATCTCCATGGTAACACGTTCATATTAAGTTAACTAGAAAATGATAGATTAACACAAAAACATGTATATTACTAAAACTCAGCCCAATGAACGACTGGCGCTATATATTAGTTATTGTTAGCTACCTTAGTGCTATATATTGATGCATGATGTAAAAAGTAGACGACCCTCCAATACGACCCTGTATAATATTAATATTTACTTTCAGTAAAATATAGTACAAGTAAAAAATAGGATCAGTGTCGAATCATAACGTAGTGGTTGTGGTGGTGACAAGAAAGATATTTGGTAATGCACTCACAACATTAAAGAATTAATCCCAATACATAATATAGCTAACGCACAGCCAGTGTTCATATCATGATAATTTTTATGTTCAATCAAACATTGCATTAAGCCTCACCTCAGAATACTGGAGGATCCGCTCAGCCGAGGTAAATCTAGCTTCCACATCAGCATTATATTTGCCACTTAATTGAAAATATGCCGCAGTCTGCGTGGATGGCAAAATACATGGATTAGTTATAAAAAAAAACATAACCACAACCACCAATAATAACAACAACAATTATAAAAAGAAATATTCACCTGTACAGCACACACCATAGCTAGTCCTGCCAATGCAGGTGATATTTCACCATGATGTATTACAATCATTAATGCTGTTGAACCAATGAGTGTCGTACTTATTACTTCTAAACGGAAGATTGTCCAACGACTTGATAAACTATATAACAGTAGTATCACAGTATTCCTGTCAAGTAATGTCTGAAATCTAACAAAACAATTATGAGCTACGTAACTGTTTTCTACAATCACCTAATTGAACCTGTAAATACAAGTTTATTTGACTGTTGAATATTAGAGCACCATCGATAATCATTTGTTTATCACGTGTTTTACCACTCATCAAAAACCCAATAATCTCAGTTTGCAAGATTTTCTAATGAAATGTTTCGAGAATTGATACCAGTTTTGCATCCCAACGGGCGAATCACTAAATACTGCCACATCATCTCCTCACAAAAGTGAAAATAAATCCAAAAGCTTCTCTATGGCCTGAATTTCTAACATAGAAGTTAATGCTGAAAAATGCCGTACCCAACTTGACAAGATAAATAGTTTGCAATTGTGCTTTACAACATGATTTGACGCAGGATACATCGCATCTCGAATGCATGGGTGATATGCAAATTAGTTTTAGTCAAAATAAGTGACTGCCTAAAAGTACCATTACTGTTGTTCAAATTTCATTTCACCTGGCAAGTATATTCATGTACCCCAAGGGAAAAATCTCGTACTTCTAAATATTGTTTATTTCTGCTATGTTTCGAAAAACGGTACTACTTTGTTCGCTCTCATACCTCATTTGCATATGGGGTGGGGAAATATCGATTTTGATTTCAGTGACGAATCAAAATAAATAGTATTAGGTTATTAAGAGGATACCTCAATGTACTTACGAAGACAGTACAGCGAAAGTATATATTAGACCGACGCGCAGCGGAGGTCGATGCGACGGTGTACCGGCTGAGTGTATACTTTGAGGTATCCTCGTAATAATCTTATTATTATACACCTTTTCTTCCAAGAATATATCATGGGAATGTCGAAATCCAAAAGGTTTAAAACGTAATTAGCGAACTTCTTTGTGTGGAGTACAGTCAACCCGGGTGGCAGCCATGTTTTTTTATTATTATTAGAAGACGCTTACGCGCGTAATCATTCCATATTTGGAATTCGCATTTCCTTATATGGTAGGATGAAAATACCCCGTAAAATACTGCAAAATTACGACACGCTGTAACTTATGTCGTTACGGTGACAGATGTATAATAAGATAAGGTTATTAAGAGGATACCTCAATGTATGTACGAAGACAGTACAGCGAAAGTATATATTCGACCGACGCGCAGCGGAGGTCGATGCAGCGGCGTACTGTCTGAGTGCATACTTTGAAGTATCCTCGTAATAACCTTATTATTATACATCATTGGGCTTTGTCGACACCCTTACCTATTTGTATTAATGGTTTCACAATTTATCATATGTTTGACTATCTCAACGCTTTCAGGTATCACAGACTTGGTAACATAGTTTATAAATACCTTAGCTATATCTTCGTAGAAAATTTATTTTCTTGTATCTTACAAATTTAACAACCACTAGTTCTAATCCCCTAACACGCGATGTGAGTTGCCAATGTCCCACAGCTAACGCCTGAACTGAATCCGAAGATGTATGATGTAGTGTGAATTTTGAATTCGATGAAAATTGGGAATATGCTTTATGATATTTAACTAAAGGCGTTCTAATTAATATCACTGTGTAGTGTAATAAAACAGAATTTGTTTCGCGTTTGGGCAAGAGATGAAGAATTAAATGTAATGTATTCAGTAGTTTGAGTAAACATTGCTTGTCTAGCCTTGTAACTGCACATGGATATTAATATGATTTGCCAAACTGAACAATAGTACAATAGAAATAAATGTATCATGGTTACTGCTGGAATAGCACTTTTAACTAACTAATATGAGACAAAATGCGGTTATTTATAATTAACACAAAATCATCCTTCTATATAATATGAAATGTCTTAATACCATCTTTATCACATATCAAGACATAATTAAAGTATCGACTATGTTATGTTCTTGTGAAGTGATGTGTAAGATGTTCACGGTTCATTTTAGATTAGCAATTTTCAGAAACACGATGGCAGTATGGGGGGCATGGAATAGGTGTATGTTTCAGTAGATCGTGCATTCAAGTAAAATACACTCATTCGGTCATCAAATTATATTAACCACTATTTGATTCAACTATTCCTTAGTTGGTGACAACTGTGACTTACTTCTGTATAAATTCATCCCGTTTGTCATATGCATATATAGATACAGCCCCGAGTACAGACGTTGATACGTAGGAAAGACATTGTGACCGAGTCACGTGTTCAAGTCTCTTCATTGATCTGATGGCCTGCCGATAGTACGTGTATACATAGACGAAGAATATAATGAGTATTAATACCGGAATCGTCAACCATGGAAACACTCCTATAACGGTAATTACAGCCACGATGACGGCGATGTTTAATTGCAGTTGCATATCCATGTCAAATGGTAACCACACGTCCACTAAATATAAAAAAAGAATGTTTTAGTCACGATTAATATAATTTATCCCATATGTCATGTTAGTTAATTGTAATAATGGAGTGTAATAGTTGTCCAAATCACACAATATAGCATATATTATAGACATGCAATTGTATTTTAATACCAGTTGGAGAGCGCCGTCTATGGCAGTCGCATTCTTGTTTAATTGTGCCTTAGAGGGGGGGCAGCAACATTGGTCCACCTCTTTTGAACTACACCATCGACTTGCCGGCTTGCAGTTTGTTTCTTCTACAATTTTAGTCGCCCTCCACCACCCCGTGCACCTCCATTGTAATTATGGCACAGGTGGGTGTGGGCGTTTCTGGGGCCCACATCTTTGTGGGAGATTAATTTGTGCTTAATTTTAACTGAATTATTGTTTTGAATGTATTTCTCGCCAGTTGACCTTTGACCTGTGTCCTCCTTGGAGGTTTTCTGTTGTAATCTTTCAGTTTGAGAAAACTGGCGAGGGATTTTTTAAGGTTTACAAGCCTCTCATTTTTCAATAAATGTCAAGAACACTTGGCCTTTCATTCCATCTCATTTGTGTTATTGTCGTCTATCTCCCACAAACAGAGCAAAACGACCAGAAGTGATTCAGTTCAAATGCAGGGATATAAATTTGAATTATTATTACTACGGGTAACAATAACGTCGATATAACAATACATTCAACCAATGTGTGAATAGTAGGGGACAGGAACGTGTCTGGAACTATTTTTGATATCACAATACATTCAACCAATGTGTGAATATTACAGGACAGGAACGTGTATGGTGCTATTGTTAATATAGCAATACACTCAACCAATGTGTAAATAGTACGGGACAGGAACGTGTATGGAACTATTGTTGATATAACAATACACTCAACCAATGTGTAAATAGTACGGGACAGGAACGTGTATGGAACTATTGTTGATATAACAATACATTCAACCAATGTGTAAATAGTACAGGACAGAAACGTGTATGGAACTATTGTTGACATCACAATACATTCAACCAATGTGTAAATAGTACGGGACAGGAACCTGCATGGAACTATTGTTGATATAACAATACATTCAACCAATGTGTGAATAGTACGGGACAGGAACGTGTATGGAACTATTGTTGATATAACAATACACTTAACCAATGTGTAAATAGTACGAGACAGGAACGTGTTTGGAACTATTGTTGATATAACAATACACTCAACCAATGTGTAAATAGTACGGGACAGGAACGTGTATGGAACTATGGTTGATATAACAATACATTCAACCAATGTGTAAATAGTACGGGACAGGAACGTGTATGGTGCTATTGCTGATATAAAAATATATTCAACCAATGTGTAAATAGTACGGGACAGGAACATGTATGGAACTATTTTTGATATAACAATACACTCAACCAATGTGTAAATAGTACGGGACAGGAACGTGTATGGAACTATGGTTGATATAACAATACACTCAACCAATGTTTAAATAGTACGGGACAGGAACATGTATGGAGCTATTGTTGATATAACAATACATTCAACCAATGTTTAAATAGTACAGGACAGGAACGTGTATGAAACTATTGTTGATATAACAATACAATCAACCAATGTGTAAATAGTACGGGACAGGAACGTGTATGGAACTATTGTTGATATAACAATACATTCAACCAATGTGTAAATAGTACGGGACAGGAACGTGTATGGAACTATTGTTGATATAACAATACATTCAATTAATGTGTAAATAGTACGGGACTGGAAAATGTATGGAACTATTGTTGATATAACAATACACTCAACCAAAGTGTAAATAGTACGGGACAGGAACGTGTATGGAACTATTGTTGATATAACAATACAATCAACCAATGTTTAAATAGTACAGGACAGGAACGTGTATGGAACTATGGTTGATATATCAAGACACTCAACCAATGTGTAAATAGTACAGGACAGGAACGTGTATGGAACTATTGTTGATATAACAATACAATCAACCAATGTTTAAATAGTACAGGACAGGAACGTATATGGAATTATGGTGATATAACATACACTCAACCAATGTTTAAT